ATTTCGAGTTTAATACTATACTTTACCTACTCCAATAAGTGGGTAATTAAATGATTTTTAAAAATAAAGTAAAATCTGGCATCTGTTAAATGGTTAACCTCACTTTTTACCAATTTTAAATGTTATTATACTCGCCTTCTCCCAATTTAAAACCCGATTGGTTCAAATCACAGTGAATATTAAAATAAGCCAATCACTGATACCTAACAACGTGAATAATGAGTTCATTATTCCCGTTAATAGGATATAATGTTTAGAATTATTCACGGAAAAAACCTAATATTATGCAATAGGAGTAGATAAAATTGTTTTAATCCAAAAATTATTAAAACGATTATAATCGTTTTAATTTAAAAAAATACCTTAATTTTTTTTAAATTAAATGAAACATGGCCACGAATCTCAATATGGGTATTATAAATTTGTATATATAACTATAGTTATAGTTATTAAATAATTATATCATTAGGCTGAGAAGTGAGTGTTTTTGTGCTAAGCTTAAATTGAGGCATACAACATTTTAACTTTAAGGCATAATGTTATTTGCCAAACGATACTTAAAAAGTACAATTATAATAATAAGTATTTAAAGTAGAAAGTTAGGTTAGATAGATCTGACAGTAGTCAATTTTTTTGATTGGTCCAAACGGGTTTTTTACAGACGAGGGGGTAAAAACCCGATTGGTCTAAATTGTTTACAAAGCCTGGGCAATAATCAATCACTTATTATTAAAGGCAATTATATTTTTCTTTAATATTGCCCCATTTCCTTTATTGCCTTTGCATAATTCAAAATGGTTTTCTTAATAGTTATCGGTAAACTGAAGGTCGGAGGACTTATAGCGTGACTTAGAAACGCTCCTTCTCTTCAATTAAACTCCGTAATTAACAAGGAGTAACTTAAGTTCGCAAACAAATCGGAGCTTTCGCGTTAAGGACCAAACTTTAAGGTTTTCATTAAAAACTTTTCGTCAATGATTGACATTCAGTAATGTGAACGTAACAAAATTTAAAATTTAATTAGAATTTTGTTAAAGTGTCTTTATGAGACAAGACACGCGACAAACAGTTTTTAAAGTTTTTAAACTATTTTTCGGGTTTATGTTTATAAAAACTCGTCAAAAATGCACATTTAAAATTTAATAAAAAAAAAAAAAAAAAAAAAAGAGAGAGGAGGCCCCACCCACATACCCAGTGCCAAACCACTCTCTTTTTCAATTTTTTATTTATTTAAGAGTGTACATAATTATAAAATTTTAGTTATTTAACATATATAGAAGGAGAATTGTATACATTTTGAATTAAAAATTAAATTGAAGAAAGCAAAAATGACATCAGTATATGGTGATTCAATAATAATAAATTATCAAAACAAATGAGAAACTCTACTCAAAAAGATACACATATGTGTTACAAGGTACCTACAACCCTTGTAAGAATTTAAGAAAAAAAATAAAAATTAGATTTAATTAACATTTTTGCTTTATCAAGATATTACAAAAAAATTTAATATAAAATAATCTAAAAATAAAGTTGATTTTAATAAATCAGAAATTCATCTATTAATAATATAATCTCAGATTATAGATGAATGTAAAAGTATTTTCAAAAAATTATATTATTTATAAAGAAATAGTAATAATAATATTACTGTATAAAGAAAAGAAATCACTCTCCAGAAAGGCAAATGCAATCAGTTTTACAATAAATGTATAGTTAAAGAGTAATTAATGAAAAGGTAAATCTCCGCAAATGGAAAATGGTGTCAATAAGTCTGTTTTGTTGTTATCAATCAAAAATTTTAAAAGATTAGAAGGTGAAATAGGCCAATAAGGGGTACAATCAATCAAAATTTGACGAGGTTCATCGTATAATGGACAAGCAGAAATTCTATGTAAAGAATCATCAGTGGAATGACAATGGGGGCAAAAAGGGTTCTCCAATCTTCCGACTTTATGAAAATGTCTTCTATATCTTCCATGACCAGATAAAATTGATGATAAAGCTTTATTATGGGTTATGTTCATATATTGTCTTTCAATTACAGAAGGGATAAATTGGTAAGTAAGTCTACCATTAGGGTATGAATCCCATAAAATTTGCCATTTATTTAAACTCAAATTCTGCAATAGTTCTTTAGCTATTGAAATTTTTGGAAAGTTATCAGTCCAAAATGTTCCCAGATGTTCGGCAGGTTTGCATCTTTTGATATTGGAAAGGGCATGTCTTTTGGAAATTTCAATATCAATTGGCATAATATTAGCTATAACGCTGGCAGCTTCATAGGATACATCCTTATAACAACCACTAATAGTTCTAGCACATAGAGCTCTACAAGAGTTCAAATATCTTTCAGATCTTCTATAATGAATATGATTTTTCCAAACTTCGAAAGCATAACCAGTAATAGGAACAACAGCCATAGAATAAATAGTCTGAAGGGCTTGCCAAGGGGGAGCCCATATGCGGGATAAATGTCTTCTTAAAGTTGAGAAAAGTCCTTTAGCTTTTAAACAAACTGTCTTTATATGTTCTTGATAATTCAGTTTTTGATCTAAGATTACACCAAGATATTTAACCGATTGTAAACCTCTTAAGGGAATATTATTTAGTTTAATAGAAGGACGTCTTACTCTTTTACCAGCAAACATAACGTAATTGCATTTATCAATCGAAAAAGATAACTTATTATCATCAGCCCAGCTATTAATACTATTAAGAGCAGAATTAGTAAACTTTTCTAAATCACCTCTATTATCAGCAAAAGAAATGACCGCAATGTCATCAGCATAAGCAAAAATTTTAATATTATTACCAAATTTGATCTTCAATAAAGAGTCAAGAGCAGTATTCCAAAGAAGAGGACCCAGTACAGATCCTTGAGGGCAACCTCTAGATAAAGTTTTATATCTAAAAGATTCATTAGAATCACTCAAAGATAAAGAAGTAGTTCTATTTTTAAGATAACTTTTAATAAAATTAACAGAGTCACAGGATAAACCCTTATTAATAAGAGAGTGAATAATGGTAGGCCACCAAACATTATCAAATGCTCCTTTAATATCTAAAAAACAAGTTATTAAAAATTTTGAATTATTTGTTTTGATAAAATTAGTAACATCCAAAATAGCATTGGTAGTAGATCTACCTTCTCTAAATCCATATTGATTTTTATCATGGAAATTTTGTTCAGGAATTTCATTAAAAAGAATTTTTTTAATAATTCGTTCAAGAACTTTGCCTAAAATTGGTAAAAGAGTAATAGGTCTCAGATTTTTTAGTGAATTATTAGAGGAAATATTAGATTTTGGGATAAGAATTAATTTACCATGTTTCCAAACATCTGGAAAATGACTAAATCTAATACAATCATTAAAGATTCTAGTATTTATCTCCACGCGGTCTATAATTTAAACTTTATTGTTGTCAACATTCGATAAAGAAATACCTTGTTATGGCCTAGGCCGATAAAAATTTTTATGAGGCAAGTAATTAGTTCGATTTTTTCTCGCTAGGGGTATTGTTTTGACAAATTAATACTTTTCTAAGAAATTAACGTACTAAACTGGTTTAATTTATTTATAATAAGCACTAATTTGTTTGTTTTACTGTTATAACATTTTAATGTTTAATATTTTTCATTAAATTATTGTAAAATTAAATATGAATAATAAAACAAAAAGAGAGGTTAGGACATTGCAATTTGACGTTTCACAGTTGTGTTTTCTTTTTCTACGATTTAAATATCTTTAAATTTTAATTTGCTTTAAGTTTTCAGTAAAATTAAATGTTAAACACAGCGTAAACATTCCAAACTACCTATTTTTTTAATAAAAATGCAAACAAATTGAAATTAGATACCTATTTATTAAACAATTAATTGAATTCAATGTAATAGCAAGAGGGTAAGTAAACCATTTTCTTACAAAAATCCATTTCTACTTAAATCATGTAGTTAGGTATTGCCAAAGTATTACTGCTTCTAAAAGGAATAATAATTATTGTACATTTAATGTAATCTTTAGCTAATAAATAAATGAGATTAAAAAAAGTGAGGTTAGGGCGCTTTCATGTTGAATTAAATTTACCTATATAAAGTGCTTTGAAGATAAAATGTTGTATGCCATTCGGCCAAGAAGTGTCTTTTTGTGCTTCGCTCAATTGTATGCCTCCGCTACGCGTCGGCCTTCAAACTTTGAGCTTAGCACAAAAAGCCTTACTTCTTAACCTAATGACATAAATAACTATTTTTGTTAAAAAAAAGTGATCCATATTCTGTAACCAAATTATAGGTATTAGCAAAAAATATGTTTGAAACCTAATTATAAAATTGTTCTTAATTCTTGTATTAAGACAATAAAACAAAGGAAATAAAATTTAGTTTTGAATTCACCAACAAAAAATGTTTATATTTTATGGCCTCTTGTGGCGTTGGTGTGCCTTTTTCAGGACATATTGTTTACATTTATTTGTATAATTGTAAATATTTAAATGAACTTAAAAAATGGGATTTAAAATAAAATTTGCTGTTTTGTCTTAGGTATTAAACTCAAGTTTTAAACATTAATCCCTGTGCATTCGGCATCTTTGTAAATATTTTTATAAAAATGTTTTTGGTGTGTTTTACATTTAGTTCGGTTGACTTCTATAGCGTGATATCGTGTTAATAGTCCGGTGTTTCACACTTTAAAATCATGAAACGTCACAATTTATTTATCGTGCTTTAAAACTTTAGTAGGTACCGTTGACTTAAAACAAAAACATCAATAAAAACAAAAGGCCAATACAATTCATGTTATTTCAGTGTATAATAGAATACGATATATTAAATCCATATGATCAAAAATCAGCAAAAAACATGCAGATTAAATCTTAAAAATAAAACATCAATTTTCCCTATACACGAATACTTAAATCAAGTATCGACCAACAACTTCAACATTTTGTTTTATTTTTTTCAGTTTCCTTTCAGCAATCGAGCATACATTCAATAAGAAGTTTTTCAGCGAGTTTTCCAGCTAGAAGAGGCTCTGTTGCCACATCTTTGATGCTCAATCCAAGCAAAGTCGGGCAAAATAGTCAAAAAGTTAACGAAAAACGCGCCACGAATTCCACAACCCCTGATGATGATGAACAAGTGCCTAAACGTCGCCTCATAAGAAGTCAAAGCGCTAAATCTGAACCAATGTAAGTAATATGTACAGGTTGTCTAAAAGACTTCTGTCAAATAAAAATCTTAAATTTTAAATATCAATTATATACAATGTTTCTACTTAAGTTGGCAACAGATGGGAAACGAAGAAAAGTTATTATTTATAAAAAGTTCTGCATGTTCTAAAATCTAAAATAAAATCATCAGATATCAAATTTTTTCAATCATATGCAAGGTTTGACAAAAAATATGAATTTGGTACAAGAGTAAATTAACTTTATTTGTGACAATATCGAAAACTCTAATTAAGTTGTTCGGAATGAAAAACTATTTTTTAATATGCAAGTACATCCTTCTACTTAATTTTTTTTTTTACAAATTTTTCACAAATTACCGATACCGAACATTTATCTTTTTTATTTATTACAAACATGATAACCTTCCGTTTTGTTTAGAAAGTATACTTATTATAATAAGCAAGTTCTGATTTTTAAATATTTTTAGCAAGAAATGTTTGACCTTGACATTCAATGTCAAGGTCAAACATTTCTTGCTAAAAAAAATATTTTTTCTATGTAAATGGAAGTAATTGCATAATTGAACGTAGTTTTTAGTTCTGATCAACTTTTTTTAATAAGAATTTTCGATATTGTCAAATATAAAAGATTCATATTTTTTGACAAACCGCATATACGACTGACATTTTTTTATATCTGATGATTGTATTTTAGATTTAAGAACATTCAGAACTTTTTATGAAGAATAACTTTTTTTCTTAAAATTAATAATAAAAAAGTTTCCCATATGCTGCCAACTTAAGTAGATATACTTTTATTGGTCTAAGATTTATATCGACATAATTCATTTTATAAATAGGACTTTTAAAATAAATTAAAATATTTAAAATTACGTTATTCAGATAAAACCCAAATAAGTTTTTAATAGGTATTTATAAAAAAATATTTGTTTCTTAATAAACAGGGGAAAAGGGCATGACATTTTTGTCACATTTCCAATCTTGTAAAAATTAATTTCTAACCGTTTTGATGCCTCTTGTAATTTTTAGTATTGTACAAAATCTGTATTACATAAGCTGGCCCCATCAGCAACGATATTGGTCTCCCAGAGATCTTTTTCCCCCTTTCGGTTCTCCTACGTATCCCGCAACCTCACAGCATTACCTGTGTTTGATGGATACACAGTTTCACCCCGGCTGGTAAATCACACGTTGACGACAGTGTGGACCCCTCCCGGAATTTTGTCGCCGGGCTCACCCAAAACAAAGTACAATCCGGAATTCCCCTTGTACTGAGATTAAGTAGCAATTGGGGTTTATGAATGGGGTTTGGTTGGTTAATATGGTGTATCGTGGCCTATCGTGCTTCTTGTGGTACTTTTTGTTCGTCGAGGTTTCAACAAGTTGTTATTTGAATTTCCTAAATAAATTATAGAACCTATTTTTATTTATTTCTCATCACTTTGCACTGCGAAGACCATTATTTAACTTGTCAAAATATTGCTCTGTGGGTGTTTGCTTTTTGTTATGCTTGGGTAACTGATTTTTTTAGTTTGTTTATAAACTGCAATGTTTCCTTTTGATCTTAAATACAATTAAAAAATGCACTGGTGTTTGTTATTAATTTCGAGTTTTTGTGCGGATTTAACTCTGGTACTTATCTTTTATCTGCAGTCCTTTTAGCGCTTGGGTCTTGTGTTTTGTCTCCTTCAAGAGTCATGTACGTTTTTCTTTTTTCATCTGCACAGGTTTAGCACTTGGCACTATCTTCGCAGATTCACTTATTGAAATGCTTAATATTGTACCTTAGCGATGTTTTTTTGTTTCTAGAATGTCTCTCATTTGATACGATTTTTTTTAGAAACCATCTCACGCACGAATTATAACAGTAAAATCTAAGACGCTACTAAAAATGTGTATTACATTATTTTGAAGAAAAATTAAACAATTAATTTAAAAAGTACGTACTTCACAAATAAAATATATATATTTCTCCATTGTATCTTGTTGTTTTTCATTTGTTTGTTAATTTCGTGGGCATCTTAGCAGTGTTAGTTTGTGGTTTTTTCTTGTATGTGCAGTATTTTTGTGTTTGTTTCTATGTTGAAAGTTTAAAACAAGGATTAAAGAACACATAAACAACAATAATCGTAGTTCAAATTTAACAAACACTGGACACACTCGGAAACTTTCATCATCGGGAGTAATTGCTATGATTCCACGCTCGGTAAATAATATACAATTTTTTACCAAAAATGCGATTAATTTCAAGATTTGATAAAAAAATAAATGGCCATCCTTTTAAATGAAATGTATTGTAAATTATTGCACAAACCATTGTAGATTCCCGAAACAAAATGTGCATCAAAGAATTACTTGAACTTTTTTCGAAATTTATATTTTGTCTGAAACGAAGGTGTCCCCAAAACACCTCCGTTACAAAAAATTTTTACTTTATTATTTGTCATTCAAAATGGATTTTTTTTTTATTTATATGCTTAAGCAGAAAACAAACATTTGTTTTTATCTAGCAATACGGCGGAACACAGGGGCTTATTTAGGTTTATTAATCTAGATGCCAAACGAAGTGATATTGCGGAATCCCGTTTGTTTAAATTTTGCAACCATCTCTTGAACATATTTTTGACGCACATTTTAGCCAAGGTGTAGTTCATTAAATGCCACTGCAGCTCCTAGAGCACAACGACTAGAGCACCATAAATAAAAATAATTTAAACACGTTCAATTGAGCGATTCTATCGAGTTTATATTACAGGAAAATCAGTGTTTTAAAAAAATAAATGGGATTTATTACACTTTAAAGTTGTATATATTGCATTAGTGCAAAACTCAAAAAATACACGCGTTTCAATTTCTATATTATGCGCAATTCTTTGGAATGATGATCCTTGGTTAACTACAGGTCGATTTTTTATTGTTTTTATCGGTAATCCCTTGCAATTGCTATATGTCGCTGCTAACATAATATTATGTCTAATAAAAATAAAATAAAAATAAAATAAAATATTGAGTTAATTTTATATTGCATTAGTGCAAAACTCAAAAAATACACGCGTTTCAATTTCTATATTATGCGCAATTCTTTGGAATGATGATCCTTGGTTAACTACAGGTCGATTTTTTATTGTTTTTATCGGTAATCCCTTGCAATTGCTATATGTCGCTGCTAACATAATATTATGTCTAATAAAAATAAAATAAAAATAAAATAAAATATTGAGTTAATTTTATACGGAAAATACACTGTGAGACCAAGTAACCCGCAACCAGGGGGTAACTTTGCACACCCAGTTTTTAATTTTTATTTTTGAAACTCAGCCCTATAGGACATACATTACATTACATATATGTAAGATTATAACATAGTTATTATAATAACTATGTTATAATCTTACATATATTTCATATATGAAAGTGCAACTCAAGACTTAAATTTTGGTATACAATATTTAATATACAATATTTAATGTTTATGATTGTTAAAACCACAAAAATTGTAAGCTTAAGTTTGAAAGTGAGCTAAAGCCACCCGTGTTTACGGTACACATTACATTGAGGATTTAAATGTTTCAATAATCCCAATAAATTTCGCGACAAAAATTTCAAAATAATAAAAGACTATTTAAAAATATACTTATGGGAGTTATTTTTTACATTTAATTTAAAAGGCTAAAAATTAAAGTGTGCTTTTTTAGTTTTGTTTTACCTAGTTTTGGCCTTTACCTTTTTAATATGCTAATATATATATCTTAAATTTGGATAGATAAACACATCCAAAAATGGTTAAATCAATTTAAGTAGGGCAACTGACATGTCTGAGATGTATTTTCTGACACCTATGTCAAAAAATTAAAACTAAATCAACTTTTGCTCCGTTTTAAATCCTTATTTATGTTATTATTCCAAGACGTGAATCATTTTATGAGGAGCTCAAAGTTTAAAGGCCAACTCGTAGTAAAGCAAAAAAGACGTGATACATGAAGCGTATTAAACGTAGAACGTGAGGTTAGAACCGTCTGACAGATGTCGAATTTTCAAATTTTTTCAAATCATGGAAATAAAATCGGCACATCACTGTCGTCAACAACTAATTACTTAGTAATTATTACTAGCCCATAATAATTTATTATGTGCCTATGCCATAACCGAGGGGTTAACCACTTCCCGAAATCTTGTCACAAATTCGTCCGAAATCCCCGAAATCCTTCCGAAATCCCCGAAATCCTTCCGAAATCCTTCCGAAATCCCCGAAATCACCGAAATCCCGCCGAAATCTCCGAAATCGCTCTAAAAATCCACGAAATCCACCGAAATCCTTCTGCCGACTCAAATATCTTTCGCAATAATCGAGTGTCAAGCGAGGTGTCAAGTGCTGATCTTTGAATCATAAATCGCATAAAATCTATATCACGGCTAATGTGTTTATAAACAAGCTGGATAGTTTACAAACTAGCCAAACTGCATTCGCAATGGCAGGTAATTTGAGAAAATAAAATGTTATAAAATTTACATAATTTTGGAAAAACTAAGGGTTTGGAAAGTCCAATCTAATATAATATTATAATATTAATAAATATTATTTTTTAGTACTACAAGTATACACTCTAAAATAAATTTAGCAGAGGAGTCAAACCACGTCAAGTGGGACCAGAAAATTTCACGAAATCACCGATTTTGAAAATAATCACATTATTGTGTAGTAGGCATGACTCATATGTCACAGTAAAAAAAATGTTTTAAAATTCGTTTTTTTGGTAATGTTATTAAGGTCGACAATTTTGTCAAACTTTAGAGCACGGTAAAATTGAAAAAATAGAATCTCTGGGACCACTCTGTATAATTGAATTAAATTTTACACACTATTGTAAAAATGTTTAGACTATATAATGATCATTTAATTAAGGTTAATTTGTTAAAATAAAAGAATTTTGCATACATTTATTATAAACAATTGAAATTTTGTATGTGTTCTTCACGCTGAAAAAAAATTAATCTTGT